TTTTTAGCAGCTTGAAACTTGCACTTCTTCAGACTAGAATTGAATGGGCTATAAAACTGCATACCAGAATTTTCTCTGAAGATTCTGATTAAAAAGGTTGATATTTTGGTGAAAATTTACAGAATTTTAATAATTTTTGTACAAAGGTTGAAATCTGAATTTATTCGTTGTTTGTTGTATACCCAGCTTGACTTTGTATAAAAATAATAAACATTAAATAAAGAAAAGACAAATAGCAAAAACTGACCAAACTAACGCACTCCTATTATTTTGTGGACCACTGTACATATGTTCATATGTACAAGCACATTTGCACATTTGCTCCCAGGACATTGCTATATACATCTTCGTTATATATCAAATATATAAATAGGCAATCATGTTTTCTTTACACCCCTTTTAATTATTTATATATCATTTGAAAGGTATTTTGATGCTGATGTGCAGGCAATTTTTCAAGTTTCAAATTAGTTTAACATAATGCGAAAAAATCAATTCAAAAGTGACACCAATACTAATGCCGTACATGTACATAGTGGGGGCGGAAATGCCTCCTAAATGTATGCTTTAATATTGATACTGAATTACAGAAACGTGCTAAGCAGCAGTATAGGAATAAGATGTATGTATGTATGTATACGAATAGATTAGACTCAAACAAGGAAGAACGTAAAGTTGAGTATGGAGACGCAACAACAGTTTATAAGAAAAAAGCAACAACAGTTTATAAGACGAACTTAGCACAGTGCGTAGGCAACTGGCTAAGTCAGCTGGAGTCGTCGCTTTGAATACCACTGAAGAAGTCTGATGAGGAAATGTGGTGATTTCCGAAATAGCTATCACTTCTACCATTTTTTCAAATTGTTGTTGCTTTTCCACAATAGTTTTTCATTAAAAACGGCCTCAAGCTCAATAAAAATTGTTGAATAAAAATAAAATTGTTTCTTAAAAGTACCACATCTCGCTGCTTTCTAACTGGTGGCGATCTATTTACTATGGGACTGGTTCGTTTTTGGCGATAAATATCTAGTACGTAACTATGAATTTGGTTCACCAGTTCGGGGTTTCCCTACATGGTATGTATGAATTTTGCTCACTGCATTATATAAGACTGCATTGGTTGGGATTGTAAAATAATAAATTCATCTTAATCTACGGCCTTACAAATTATAAAATATCGAAAACAACTTTTTTTTATGTAAAATAAGTTAATTGTAAAAACAAATATTATTAAAGCAAGCATTCTAAATATGAACGAAACCGGACCATAAATATTGCTTTACCAAATATATCAACTCGTGTGCCACCTATTGGCAAAATTTTTAGTGGAGTTATTCCTTTTCATGTAGTTAATATACGTTCTAAATATTAACTAAATCGGCCTATAAATACGGGATTTTCAAATATCTCGACTCCTATCGGATTAAATCGTCTTTCGTATTGCACTGTCATCGGGTTCTGAGCCAACTGTGAAGTCTCTAAGTCATCGGGAAGTTGGTCTAAAATTGATTCCAAGATTTACCCCTAACAAACATACATACAGAGCTAGTTTAATAAAATATTGTAAAAACATCAGCCTTCGATTAAAAGTATTGGAATGGAATGGAATGGAATTGTGGGTGGTCGGAAAACCCAAAAACACATTTTCCAAGCACTCAAGCAGTATTTCCCATTGTACTTAAGGCCAAGAAACAGGATTTAGAGGAAAGTGATATGTAGGTGGGGTGGGAATTCATTACTCCTCTGCAAACTTACCGGATTCCTTTATGAATTTAAGCAATTTGTTGAGGGAAAGAGAATGTACGTCGTTCATTCTCAGTACATCCGACACAAAAATGTACCATCTGAGTCTGGCGAAGGCCGGACAGCGGCAGAGAAAATGTTCTGTACTATAACGTACTATCCTCCAAACACGATGTACACAGTGGATCGTCGATGATGCCTATGGTGACCATATGTCGTCCCCATGGATTGTGCCGCGTAATCAGTCCTACAAGGGTTCGTAGATCACTCCTTCTTTGTCTGAGAAGAAATTTTGCTACCACCTGTCAGGCCTTGGTTATTTTGCTGGTGTCAATAGTGCACAAACGGCTCTCATGAGTTTTTCTTATGAGATCCTTGATGCACGGGATCGTTCCCGCTATGCTTAGCCTTACAATTGGCTCCGGTCCCATTGGGCGCTCCAGAGAACTGCAGTTCGCCAATTCATCAGCCAGTTCGTTACCTTGAACAACGTAGTGTCCTAGCACCCACACAAGTTCAAGCTCATTCCATCTTGTAACGGAGTTCAGCCTCAACTTACATTCCTGGACTAACTTTGAAGAGGTTCAAGCGATTTCCAGAGTAGCTTGGCTGTCACTGCAGATCCTGAATTTATGTCCGCTCTACCTTTCGCCAGTGATCCAGTCTGCCACTTTCAGTATTGCAAAGATTGAAAG